CCTCTCTTTCAAACGAACAGCCTGCTACTCGCTCCCAGACTAGACACAAGAAGGTACACATAAATAGGACAACATATATGTGTATGTATGTATGTATGTGTGTGTGTGTTTGTTTGTTTGTTGTGTGTATATATGTATATATACATATGCTACGTTTTTTTTCTTTCACATTATACTAAACCTAGGAGCTTAAGAAATTTTCGCTTTACCCACAATTAAATTTTTTCTTTCTTTTTTTGGTTTTTCAGTACATACACAATCCCATCCAGGGGAATTATTTTCACGGGCTAGCGCGGGCGAAACGGTTCGCTCATCGTACCGCCTAAAACGCGCCTTCTTAGAAATCGTCTAATTTGCTCTGTCTAATTTGCTTATTAGTCTAAAGAGAAAAGTTTTCTCGGTTTTTAAAATTTTTTTTGGTTTTTATTTTATTATTTTTTTTTTTTTTTTTTTTTTTGGGTGGAAAGGTTCTTAACACGCGGCGCCGTTATTCTCTCATGCTCTGGCACCTCTTTGCACGTAGACTAGACACGTGTTTACCGACGATCCGAAATCATTCGTCGTCGATTGTCCTTCTCGACCATGTCTGTATCACATATTCGTGCACCGTCGCGAAGTGTTTCTTTCGTCCCAACCATTCGTGTCCCTTCTTTTTTAAAAGAAAGGGAACCACAGCAAGAAAAGACGCGTCCAATCTGCGTATCGTATGTATAAGTAAACCGTCTCTATGAAATATTTTGTACGTTGGACTTTTTTTTTTTTCTTCTTTCAATATTTTCGTTAAAAAAAGGGAAATCGAACGTTCGTGTTTATAAAAATCGGAGTACCTTCGTCGCGACGGGGAGGCAGAGTTTCTTTCTCCACTTTTTTTCCTCCCTTCATTTTCTCCCCGCTACAAACAGTGTTTCTGTATGTATATACGTGTCGATGTGTGTACGTGTGTATAAAGTGATTGTGTGTGTTTCTGTTAAAAAGTTGGCTGACAAAGTTCTTCTAAAACGTCCAACTTGTGGACGGTGCACACTCGAGGGACACTAATACGCGATACTCGATAAAATCAGACTCTGCATTTAAGTAAGCATTTTTGTACTAACTAAGATCTCGCATCTTATACGTACATATTATCTATACGTAAGAAAAAAAAAAAAAAAAAAAA